CCTCCGCATTTCAAGAGAAGAATTCCCGGCCCTTGGTTTCACAGAGTGAGCGCAGTGTGGCCGCGCCAGGCCCAGCCAGGCCCGTCGAAGCCCAGACGAGCGGGGAGGCGACATGTAATAAGCCTCATACAATGCCCCCATTGTCCGTGCGCTCTTAATGAAAGATTCGTCCCCTCTGCGGCCGGTCGGTCCGACAGAGTCTTTCAGTGCTCTCACACAGCTTCCCCAGGGGCGGAGAGGAGAGGGACAGTCTAGTGGCAGGCACGCCATAGAACCAATAGATTGGGAATGGGAACACTGGTGAAACTAAAGTGGAGTTGCACGCTTTCTTCACGATAAAACCACCTCCTGGACATTGAAAAATATTCCTGCGAATAGACCTGGGCATCCCAAGAGACGGATTTACCGTGTTCAAGTAATCAGCTGCTACTCTAGAAGACTGCACGCTTCAAGTCAAACACAGAGGAGAGATTCTCCCACGCATTAAGTTCACGTCTGTTGGAAAAAGCTGTCAAATTCATTTTGAATGTTGATCCACGTACAGACGTGTCACCTCCAGACAAATGAGACGTAACTTTTAAACGATCGAGAAACTATTCTCATTCTACGGCATATGACGTCACATTCGTTGACCAAGCAATGACGTCTTCGTGCCATCAGCCCCCTTGAAAGCGTCCGAAACGAAGCCTGACTCAAAATCCTCGTCTCGGCGCCTCAGGCGAGGTGCACCAGGCTGATTCCGAACGCTGTCGCTCCGTCTCTCTCGCACTGGCGGTGCGTTCCGTGCAGGTGCGAGAGAGACGGAGCGACTGTTCGGAACGACACCGCTCGTTAGGCAACGTCGCGCACGACGTCGGCACGGCCGTAGTAGTTTGTCGCTGCGTCTAGGTCGTTGCGTCGACCCACAATGATGGAAGTTTGGTGGCGTCGCCCCCGGGGCCCGGGCCGACGGACCGGCCCAGCCTGCGCCAGTAAGAGGAGCATTCCGGTCTGAGTCTCACGCCGAGCGTCGCTCCTCAAAGTTGCATCGCGGGAAAAAGAGCACGGCGGCGACAGGGGGAGGGGACGCCTGCCGGGGCCTCTCTGTTGTCGATCCGGCGACGACTAAAAATATTTTCTTTGTGCGACTGAGGCCGTCCAAAGGCAACTCGTCGGTCGAGGCAGCCACGCACTTAAAATCTCACGAAGTAGTATATTTTGAGCTTCCGTGTAAGCTACAAGCCATACTTTTTAATGCGAAGTATTAGTTTTTCAGCAAGCATATGCATGCTCAGCATCCTTTGTCATGATTAGCAAGCTACTTTTCTTTGTGAGGTTTAAAATACTTTGTAAGATTTCGAGAGTGTAGGATGCAGAGTAACGTTGCTGCAAATTCTGCAAGCCTAAGGCAACGAAAAACACAAGGTGCGTATATGCCTCATTTCATTGCCCACGCACTAGGGGCGCACTTAACACGGCGTGGTTCCCGTCGTGGCACCCCTTCATGATCAATCGATGAAAAAGGGGCCAAACCCATCGCACCGATTGAGCCATCGTCATAGCGTTTGAAGCGCCAAACTTTTACCGCGGAAGTTCGCTAGGTAAACTAATTGATAGCCAATCGACAGATATTCCAAACAAAGTTATCCAACAAAGTTAGTGGGACGCACTTCTTTCTTTCTCGGGAAAGTAGCCTGCAGACGAAAGGAAGAACGTACAGGGACCGACAGACAGCCTAGCCACTGGAAACCCACACACGGGAAACACACACTCGGCACACCTGCCTCGCCCTTGCATCCGAGCGCGAGGCAGTGAGGCACACACGCCGCTTCAGAGCCCGGCAGCGTTTCGTGCCTTCAAGCTGACAGAGACACTTGACGCCCCCCACCAGCATCTCGCACGCGCGGCACACACGCACACACACACACACACACACACACACACACACACACACACACAAAGACGAGCCCCTGGATGGCTTCCCCCGGGAAGCTGCTCCGTAGTACATGACACGTAAAGCGAACGACGTTTGCAAACATCGCTCGCAGTGGGAGCGAAGAGGGGGCTCGGGAGAGGGGTGGCGAGAGGGGAGGGGGGAAGTCAAGCAGGTCGCAAAAGGGGCGAGCGAGCGTGGCTCTAATTTTGACGAGAAATCGAGTCAGGGTGACGGTGTCGAAGGCAAGGGTCCGGCCGAGTCGCGCCTCGCGACTGCGTCGGCGAGCTGGGTGGGGTGGGGCGTGCCGTGGGGCGTGCCGTGGTGGAGGGGGAGGGGCGGCGCCACGATCGCCGAGTCAGAGAGCAGAGGATATTAATTTTTGCTGCTTTGAAATGCTAACAAGAAGGCCACGGCCCCTCCCCCTTGTCCCGCGGCCTTCGAGTGGAGGGGTGGGCAGTGTCCTGCCGAGAGACGCCAATAATGACGTTAAGAATGTCCACAACGACGCGTTGGCAAATCAGACCGCGGCGACTCTGCCTGCAAAGGCCATCGGTATTTTGGACGGCCACACGGATTCCCCGGCAAGTCGGTCACTGCCCGTGATATTAAAATGAAATGAGGCAACGGAGCGCGAGGCTTTGGAAGCGAGGGGAGCACATCGCGGTCCAACCGCGGGAACAGCGAGAGCGACGCGGTCGGATTCTCCTCCTCGAATCGGACGTGGAAACGTGTGCCAATAATATAAGCAACGCTCTCGCCGAGACCGAGGAGGTTTTCATATCGTTGGAATTTTTCATCGTCTCCAGCGTGTTAGTGTCCGCCCCCAGCGAAGAACACTGCTCCTCTATCCTCTATGTCTGACATTCTGGACCCAGATCACCTCGTCGAAAAATGTCCAAGTCTCGCGCCCACGGCCACGGAGTGGAGTGACACATTTTGGCGTTCGAAACGGAATGCAGGGAATTCAGCGATGGATTTTGCAGAGAACTGGTGGACGCTAACCTGCGTGGTACGTTCTCCTCTCTCTTCTCTCTCTCTCTCTCTCTCTCTCTCTCTCTCTCTCTCTCTCTCTCTCTCTCTCTCTCTCTCTCTCGCACATACACACAAGGAACGCTGGCATTCCGCCAGTGAACTCAGACACGGGAGTCGGGAAGCACGCGTTCCGGATGCTGGTTCGAAGCGCCACGGCACGGCACGGCGTGGCCTGGCACGGCTCTGCACGGCAGGACTCGGACACGGCACGGCCCGTGTGCAATCCCGCGATGCCGCCTCGGAACGAGACGTCTGGCCACCCTGATCCGGCAGACTGATTCCCGACAATGCTCTGTCTCTCTCGCTCCCCCACGGCGCACACGAGGGCGAGAGAGACGGAGCGACGGAAGCAGCGCCCCGAAATGAGACTTGCATAGCCCGTCTGCCTCCGTGCTGACGAGATGCCATTCCCAACGCGGAGCGGAGCCACCGCGCGCGAGGCATGCACGCTCCACACACACAATCAGCGCAGTTTGGCTCAGGGCAAACAGCCCGCGCGGCGACGCGACGCCTCGGCGACGCCGCGGTGCAGGTGAAGGCATGCTGAATTCCCGCCCCCCTCCTTCCCTCTCTCTCTCTCTCTCTCTCCGCCGCGGGGCAGCCACGCGTGCAAGAGAGACGGAGCGACGACGGAGCGGCGGCGTGCGGAATCACTCGGCTGGGAGCCGATGTGTTGAAGTTCATGCCGCCCGGGAGGCACGACGGCGACCTCCGGCGACGCGCTGCCAATCCATTCCGGCGAGAAGAAGAGGGATCGAGGGGCGGCGGGCGGGCCGGACGCGCCCGGAATGGCCTAGTCCGCGGCCGCAAGCTCCGCAAGCTCGACGGGGCCGTGACGAAGGTCTTCGGGCGCCGCCCTGCGCCCCGCGCCCTCCCCCGCCAGTCCTTAACCTCTCCTGCAGCATCATCAGTCAACACCACGAACTGCCGCCCGCTGCCGCCTCGCGCCAGTCCGTCCGTAATCCCCCCTCGCTGAACATGACGGGTGCCAGCGTCCCCCCTACAGGGCGCCGCCCGGCCCCACCGCCCCCTTTGCCCCTTCGGCGCCTTCGGCCTGACACGGGGCATTTAATTCCTGCGGCGTGGGGGCGGGGGGAACCACGCGGCGCGGCGCGGCGCGGCGACAGCCTTTGGATGTTTTCTGATAAGTACGCCCTGCCGCCCCGCCCCGCGCCACCCCCTAACAAGGCCCCCCCCACCCCCTCTCGCCGCCCTGGGAGGGTCCTTGAGCTGCTCAGCGCCCCCCGGGGCGCAGGCTAGCCCAGGCCGGCCCAGGCTGGTCCAGGCTGGCCCAGGCTCCAGCAGGGCGTGGTTGGCGTTCTGGGCGCGCGGCGCCGCCACCCCCTAGGCTGGTACTACCCCGTGGCGCTACTTCGTGGCGCTACCCCGCGCTGCAGGGCGCAGCGGCGATACTCCGGGTGGCGCGCAGTCCGCGTGGGGTAGCGCTGCCAGCGCGTGGGGCAGTGGCCGCGGGAGATCCGCCCTCATCCAACTCTGGACACGACACCTGAACTGCGATCGCTGTTGGAACTGAAGCGTACTTTTACTCCATTGTCGAGCGCAGTGGTGAAACTCAAGCGTAGTTACAAGCTTGAATGAATCGCACGACATCGCTTCAGACTAGTGAACAACAAATATCTCGCCTATTACGTTTTGGGGGGCGGTCAAGGTCAAGGGGATGGCGGATCGGTCGCTCCTTCCTAGAGCCGCTGTCGTTACGTTTGCTTCTGGGGATGGCGTCGAAGCCCAGTGGCGGACGGACGACCCCCGCACAGTGTGCCAGAAGACCGGCGGAGGCGGCCAAACCTCCAGACGCGTTTTGGGCTCCACAGTCGCTAAGTAGGACTTGAACCAAACGTGTGACCCTACCAATGGATTCCTCGTTCGGAGAGCAATCCATTGGCGTGGTCACACGTTTGGCTCGCCCCCCCGACTCTAGAGCTCAAAACGCGTCCGGTATTTTGACCGCCTCCACCGGTCTTCTGCCCCACTGTGTCCCGGCGCCCCGACGCGCGCAGTGTCGCCGCGAGGTCAACACGGTTGACTCACTCACCCTGAAGTGCGGCCGGCTGAGCAGGTCCCGAAGCTCGTCCCTCTCCATGCGCGCCCGCTGGTGGTGGTGGTGATGGTGGTGGTGATGGTGATGGTGGTCGGCCTCGGCGTCGACGGCCAGCAGGGCGTCCACCACGTCCCTGGCGCGCTGCACCGCATCGCTGGGCGGCGGCTTGGAGGGCGACAGTGGCTGCGACGAGATGCGGTCGTACAACTGCAAGGAGAAAAAAATGGGGTGAGATGCTGAGTTCCTGACCTGCCACACTGTCCACAAACACTGTGAAAAAATTCCGTGCTTTGGTACGAGAAACGCTAGAAGCACAGAGCAAGGAAGCACCAAAAACCTAACCTAACCTAACGTAACCTAACCTAACAGTTTGTTATGCGAAGAAATAGTTTGTATAATACGAAGTATTTTCTTTGTAAGCTTGCTCAAAATACTACTATGTTATAGTAAGCTACTTTTCTTTGTAAGACCTAAAATAGTTTCTAAGGTTTTCAGAGTGCTCATTATAACAGAACAGCGGAAAATCACGTTCTCTTCGCCGATACCTGGAGATCGCTGTGATCATCATCATCATCAGCGCTGTTAGGTTGCGGAGAGGACGCGCGAGGTCGGAGTGCCTTGCTGACTCGAACCGCTAAAGATCGCTGTGATGGGGTTGGCTACACTCTAAATGTAGGGTGCCCAGTAACTGGGCGCCTTTGTCGCCCGCCCCACTTTTTAGGGTGCCAAATGTCGCCCAGTTTCTGGGCACTTTTGTCGCCCAGTCTCGGGGTGGACTAATCATGCAGTAACCGGCCCTCTCCCATGGCAGAGCATGGACAGGTGTCTAGTTCCTGGGCGACTAAGGTGCCCAGATTCTGGGCACCTTTGGCACCTTAGTCGCTGCTGAGCCATGGGTGAAGGCAGGTTCCTTATGGTTTGTCCAACCCAAGACTAGGCGACAAAGATGCCCAGAAACTGGGCGACATTTGGCGCCCTAAAAAGTGGGGCAGGCGACAAAGGCACCCAGTTACTGGGCACCCTACATTTAGAGTGTAATCAGGTCATACGGCGGACTGGCGGTCTGCACCCGGCGGACTTCGGTAATCGTTTAACAGCCCCCAGCACTCCTGGGTTTGAAACTCTCGCGCGCAAAATGAACTGGAATTTTCTCGAGAGCCGGCCACAGGACACAGAAGACCAGAAGGCCGGTGGAGGCGTCCAAAATTCCAGACGCGTTTTGACCTCCAGAGTCACTTAACACGAGTGCAAATTTGAGTCACGGTTCACTTTAAAACGATAATGTGACTCGCCTCACTTTGTGAATACCGGAGATGGCGGATTGTGGCGCTATGCAAATGAGACAGCTCGCCTCGCCCTTCGCACCTGCGGCGCCTTGTGCGGCGCGCTCCACACTTTGGCAGCGCCCCAGAAATGTGCCACCGTACACAGCCACGGCCGGGTTCAAGTTACGACGGGCCTGCCAAACTCAGGCAGGCCCTCCGCCGACTTGCAAACTCGAAGGAGCCGTCCTGGGGCTGGCACGTGTCTTCCTCCACGTGGCGAACGAGAACCTGGGCGGCCGACCGCACGTTGGAACCGAGCGGGCCGCTGGCGTGGATGCCGTCCACGGGAACTGGTGTGTGGCTTGTTGCCTTCCCTCCAACGCCACCGTGGATAAGAAGTACAGCAAATCCCGTTAGCTGTAATCCTAACCGTCACTGCAGTTTAGGGTACATTTCATGTAATATTTTACACCAAAATTGTCCGCGCACTAAACACACAATCATATTTTTCCACCGCGGCGGTAGCGTAACTAAGGGTTATCCTTCCATTTTAAACGCCTTATTGGCTCGAAATCGACAGGCCCGAGGACGGTGCGGTTTAATGGCCTTGACAGGGTGAAAAAAAGGCTAGCTTTAGAATTGGGTATAACTAGAATGTCCATGCTACGGAAAGTTTCCAGCAGCTCTCGAGGTAATCAATCAATCGTCGCCGGGAACCCCGCAGCCCGAACGCAATTGCTCCATCTGTTTAGAGTCATATTTTACGGACCCATTCCCAGAAATGACACGGCCCTGGCCAGGCGTCTCTACAAGAGTTTGTTTGTGAGCAGTTTGTAACGGAAGATTTGGGTGGAGCACCTCCAAACCGAAAGAAATCCCGTTAAATCACTTGAAACGCACACTAGGAGTGTGACTTCAAAACCCCACATGTTCTTACCAACTGCCCTGCACAATTTTGGTTCCACAAGCGGAGCTGAAGCCACATTTGTTCCAACAGTGTGCCAAACAGGAAGATCGACACACGTGAGAACTTTGACCCTGCCCCGGTTGCCGTCATCGTTGTCACGCTGCTAATCACCAGAAAACTTTTCAACAATTTTTGTTCTCCTTCCGTGCAAAACTCTTTCCAACAAAGGACTGGCCGCGCTCACCGGCCCAGGCCAGCGGCTTTCACGCAACACTTTTTTTCTGATCGCGTCGCTGGGGGGGGGGGGGAGAGAGAGAGAGAGAGAGAGAGAGAGAGGCAACGGGGACGGGGCAGATCAAACGACTGTGTGGACCGTGGCCCAGAGGGGGGGGCGGCACCAAATTGAGGTGCGATCAGCTATCACGACACAAGTGGCAGCTTCTGAGAGGGTCAGCTCCCGGCGAGGTGGGACCAAAAGAGAGGAGGGGGAGAGGAGGGGCAGTGGGGTTGGGGAGTTGAGGGAGAAGAAAAGACCACAGGAAATCAAAGGGCGGGACGCTGCGTGGCCCAGTTAAGCCGAAACATTCGAAAATGGGTGAGACAGAAACAATGTGCGTGGCCGACGAACGGTGAAGGTGAAACTCAGCGGTCTGACCGAAAAAGAGTGATGCCCTAACCCGTTGGTGAGACGCATAAGCTCATTTAGGCATGTTTTTTTGTGATTTTTGTTTTAGTTGATGAAGTTTTTTTTTACTTTTTTGGGGTCATGATTCGTCTTATCTGTTCCCGTCACAATGTCACGCACACACTGACAAAAGTAAAAACAACGAAAATGCAAAAATAACATTCTGCCAGCACAGTGCTTGAGGCACACTCTGACACCATCACGCCCCTCGGCGTCTTTGGACGGCCCGTGTGAACAGCGCGGTTGGAATCGGCTGACAGTGCACTCTCACTTTACACTAACTGTCCTGGAAAGAGAGAAAGGCCTCCTGTACCACGCGAATCAGCAGGTCCATCATGTTGACGAGCTCCATGGCGAGCGAGGTGTTCATCATTTGGACGCGCTGCGCCCGGTAGCGTCCTGGCGCGGGGTGCATGGTGGCTCTTGGAGGCGGCGGTGGTGGTGGCGGAGGTGGTGGCGGCGGAGGCGGAGGCGGTGGCGGAGGCGGTGGAGGTGGTGGAGGCACAAACAGGGCGGGCTTGGCACGGATACGCGGCGGGCGCATTGGGACGACGGTCACCCGGGGCTGCAGCGAGCGCAGCGAGGCCCCCGGTGCATTCCCGCCAACCCTGCGGTCGACTCTGCCATCGAGACCGTCACACTGTCACACTGTCACCCTGTCACACCGTCAGGCCGTCAAAGCAACGGGTTGCCCCCTCGTTATTCCGGACACACCACGGTAAAAACGGAACCTTGTTTTCCCACGAACTCCCTAGAAATCGCCCAGGTCTCTACTATAGGCCTCCTGGGAAAACCAGGTTCCGTTTTTACCCTGACGATTCCGGATTCCCACCAATCCCGTCCCATGAGAAAAGTGAGGGTTTCGGAAGCTTTCTGGGTGTATTTTTCGCCATTGTTGCCATAAAAGTGCGTTGCAAAAGTACCCAGCTGATAAACACCAGGATGAGGTATCCAACATGCCGCACACCCGCGTATTTGACCTACTTTTTGCCTAATTTTCTGAAAACACCTGTTTGTCACTATGACGTGATTGCGATGACTTTCCGTCGTCACAACAATAATTTTGATAAACATTAAGCAATGCGACTGAGTCGCTGTACGTCCACGATTCCCGGAATAGGTGACCCCTCGTGTCAGACCGTGAGGCCATCAGGCGGCCAATTGGTCGCCGTTTGAAGGTATTGGCGTGCCATCGGGCTGCCCCAGTTCGCTCCGGTTGCGGCGAATGTGCACACGGCCCGGAACTCGATGAGGATGGGCTGCGGTTGGCGTGGTTTGAAACCAGGGTGTGTGTGTGGGGGGGTCTGTCTCCGTCGGGGTCTCTCGTCCAGTGGCCCCGCTCGTTGTCTGTCGCACAGTCGCCTCCCTCGAGACCGAGGTCACCGAGAGGCGGAGTATTCCCCCCTCCCCCCTCCCAAACCACCCAAGGGGGGAAGAGGGTCGGCGGAAGGAAGAAACTCGACAAATTGACGCGTTCCGATCCCCAAAGCAGGACTCGAATCAAACACATGAGGGTACCAGCGCTGCACTGTCCAACCAAATGTGCAGAACTCCACACTTCAACGTGCAGAGACTGCAAAGTCCGCAAACTAGGTTTCAACTATGGTGTGACATCAGTGCAGTCCTAGACTATGATTTAGCCGTGTTAGATTGGCGGCAGGGGAACTGGATGGAAACGCAGATACGCTTGAGGCCAAGCGTGACAACCTGTACGCTTCAGGAAAGAAGTATAAAAGTACGTTTCAATTTCACCAGTGTAAGGACTCGCCGTTCCAACAGCAATCCATTTGTGCCGCCACTTGCTGGATTGGAGTGCTTTTGAGTTGAAGATGGAAACACAACCCGAAGCGTCCCTCGGGCCGCTTGCTGTTCCGAGCCATTCAGTGTAAGGCCCCCTCCCTCCCCCCGGCAAAGAGCGCGTCGCCAAGGTGTTCATCATCGCCTCGCACACCGTAAATCGGACCGGGCCCGCCATGCATAACCCCTTCAGCCTGGCGCCGAGGGAAGGCGGTCTCTCTCGCACTCGAGAGAAGGTCCGTCTTGGTGCGAGAGAGACGCCCCCGGGTCCACCCCTCGTGTGTACACCGGCCGCAGCGCGGCGCCTCGCATCGCCTCGCATCGCCTCGCAGCAGACCGCTTCCGAGATTCGTTTTGCGTCGCCCTGTCTCTCTCGTCCTCATGGGGCGTCCCGTGTGGGTGCGAGGGAGACAGAGCGGCGAAAACCACTCTCGCGGAATCAGTCTGCAGCGCGCCGGGCCTTGAGATTCCGTCGAGGGGTGGCGGCCAGGCTGGGCCCGGCTGGCTGGGCCAGGCGGCCCTCGCCTCGGCGGCCGGCCCGGGCTGCCCGGTC